TTCAAGAGGACTGAAAGCATAACCTACATGGTCACTGATGCATGATGGGATGTGGGCTTCCCTAGGCCATGTGCTGTACTGGCTTTGCAACCTCAATCTGCTCTGTCACACTTTCCAATAAGTCTACCACTATTTTGCATTGGACCAGAACGATAACCACCAGTGAAAGCAGGACAAAATATCTTTAAATGTTTCTCTTAACTAAATTAAGTGTTTACTTTAAAGTGTGACATAAGGCTGTGGTTAACAAGTCCAGAACTGTGGCATGCCGAGTGCTTTTTGAATTTCCAATGATGCACTTTCCCCATAAGACAAGTCAACGCCAAAGCAGGGCTATTTTTAGTATCACAAGGGAAAGAAATCAAGACACATTCACTTCACAGATACAGTTCTCACTAACGAGTAGCTGTTCTCTCCATTACATAACAAAGAGCATTAAAGGGCAAAAGGCACAAGAGCCTTTTTGCATTTGAATTTAGACATAAGGAAAGTCAATCCCAAACCTGTTTACAGCTCACCACACATCTGCGAGAAGTATCTTTCTTACCCATTGCACGGATTGTCCTGGTACTTGGGGGCTGTGTAGGAGAAGGGTGAGATGTTCTTATCCACAAAAGAGCCAAAGCCAAGGCGGAAGTTACTTGTAAGCTTCCTCATTTCCTCAGCCAGTTTGGTGCCTAGGTTGCGGATTGTGTCCAGATCATCCTTCATGGAGAGCGAGAGGTCCATCAGGTAGTACAAATCAACAGGGTAGTCTTCTACAGGACGCACTTGTACTTCAAATGAGGTCTGGTCACCTGAAGGATGTACGAGTCATTAAACTGACATGCTATTTCAAGGTATTTACAAATGTTTTTATTAAAATGTGTCCTTCTCTAAACCAATCAGAAGATGCATACCAGGCCTTAAGCTGAGAGAGATCTTTTGAGGGTATATCTGGATGACATCATACTGGGTCACCCCAGAACCTTTGGAGCTCAGAGGTTTGCTCAGCAACAGAGAGCTGCCACTCCTGGGATTTTCAATGAAAGGGGCATCACATCCTCTTTTCTGTAAGTTCTGGCTAAAGTCACATCGTGAGTTGAGAGTTCTAGCTTGTCCAAAGTCCTGAATCAGGAAAAAAGATTGCTGTGGTAAGTGATGTGAGGAAAGCATTCAATAAATGAGCAAACCCACAAATGCAGTGAAATACAGCAGTAATGCTCTTAGCAACCTGTAAACAGCCAGAAGCCCTGGATTATTGAAGTATATTCACACTCATAAATAAATCAGTGCCCTGTCTGCCTAACTAGACAATATTTGACTAATCTATGATGGCTAAAAGTACTGTCTAGCTAGGCAGCTCAGCAGGTTTTGCGACATCTTCTGTCAATCAGTGTCTCGCAGTACCTCTTGCGCGCACCAGGCGCAGTTTGGGTGAATGAGGAGACATTCTTCACAAGATGTGGCGCTGCCGCTCATGCAAACATTAAGACCTAAAAAAAATCCATTGCAAGTCAAATAGGCATTATGAATATATGCATTTAACACCCTTTTATTTATCTAAACACACTTTCAACCAAAGATTTCTGCCACACAAGTGATTCATGTTAATAAGACAGAAACATGAGAAACGATACAAAGTCACAGAATTGCTTAGAAAAGTAACTGAGGCAAACTGACCTCCCCTCATTATCATGGTGGTGAAATAAATACATAAATGAAACACTAAGTAAATAGATGCAATGAATTATTGTAAAAAAATTAAGGGGAAAAGTAAATTAATGTTCAAACATACAATTTATTCATGTATATATTTTCAAACATTTATTTCATGCATTTGCATTTACTAATTTAGTATTAAACCTACTTATCTAAACGAAATCAGATAGAGCATTTTGATGACAGATGTGATTTCACTAACAGCACTACACTTACCTTTGACACCGTGTATAAATATTTCCAAGACTATGTAAAGTAGAAGGGCCGGGTGATGTGTAAACGGGCAAGGTTTCCACATTATTCCTTACAAAATCAAAAGCCCGTTCAACGTCAAAAATGTTTTTTTTTTTTTGTCCAATTGCATAAAAAAAGTTTCTATGATAAATGTCCGTTTCTTATATCGTGAGTGGCTGAGATCTTTGTGTCCATCCTCTCCACATCACAGCGGCACACACGACTGAAGTCAGAGTCGATACCGCAACTCTGAACAATAATCCACATTCGAAGTTATTGTTACTGTCGCACTCTGTCTGAGGTCCACTGCAATAATTCCCCATTGACTGCATCCATACTGAGCTTCAAAACTTCATTCACTAATACATTTTAAACTTTGTAAACTGACTGTTTTACTCATTATCCGGTTGTTTTCAGCGTGGAAGTTCAATAGAGTGCCTGCCGCGTCCCTCACGTTACTCTAGACTCCGCCCATGGGAGAAGAGACTGGACGTTTTTCCCAATCAGTTTGTCCAACAAGTGCCGCCCTCCTGCGCTGGGATTGGCTAGTAGGGTGACTTCAAACCATGCACTGATTGGACAGTAAACAAGTCATTCAAATGTCCTTGCCAATAAAAGAAAATAGCAATCAGACGAAGGGCGGGGCTAGTCAGAATATGAGGGGAGAAAGTATTGTCGACTAGGACGAAGCAGTTGAAAGGACATTTAACCCTTTAATTAGTTGACCTTAGTAACCAATAAAGGTATTTTATGGAAAGAACAATCATATTTTGCTCTAAAATATAAATCAGTTTCTCACATAAAACTGTCAAATTACATTAAAATGGTTGCATGCCGTTTCTTCTCTTAAAAGTAGATTTAGAGCATTTTATAAATGTTTTTAATGTCAGTAGTACATTAAACATCTAAGTCCTTTAAGATCTGGCTTGGAAATTTCATCCAGCGCAGTCAGCAGTCATGTGACCATCACTAATTACATCCCCACCTGTTCCACAGAAAAAACTGTGGAGAACCCATTAGGTGCCTCCAAGAATAGAAAGTGGTTCTAGTTTTACCTGAGTTGACAGGAGTGATAAAAAGGGTCCCTCCACCACAGACCATTTTTACAACTGCAAAAAAATAAAACTGGTCACATGACTTGAAATGCTCTGAAATTTGCAGCGCTACACTGCCTGGGCTTGCACTCATCAAATCATTATAGGAAACACAGGAAAACA